ATATGACTTATTATATATTTGTGCATGAACCTTGGTTGAACATGTTATAATGTAAATAAGATCCTTGTTGTGTGTCATTGTTATTGTTAATCTCTGTTTTTGGTTTGAGTGGTGATGAATTTGCATCGTCTTGCTAGAGCACATGCGTGTGCAGCATTTCGGGAGCAACAAAGGCATATGTCACTTACTCGTGTCGCTTATGTAGCAACCTTAAGGGTTTTTGATGACATTGTATCTCTCATGTTCATCTTTGTATTATGTTATTGAGCATCAATAAGCGGCAATTGTGTTTTATTGTTGTCTTGGTTGCTAGTATTTATGTTTAAAGCATTCTATTTTAATATGAATGACATTCTATGTGAGTGCTATCATGTTGATAGTCTTATCTTTGCAAATTGCCTTTGTGTAATATGTTTGTTTGTATGTGACTTAAGATACTTCTCAAAGTTTGCTGGTTCTCTTTTTGATGGTGTCAAAGGGGGAGAAGTATACAAGATGATGTTGGATGCACATATTCAGGGGGAGTCTTCATGAAGACACAAACATCGCAAAACACATTGTCTCATGTTTTGCCATCATAAAAAAAGGGGAGTATGTGAGTGCCTTTTAAATTTTGAATGATGTCAAAAGTAGGATAGTGTAGCGTTAATGCATGTATATTGGATGGTATCATCTGGTTCTAGATGTGCATCTTAGCACTAGGGAGCATTAAAATGGTTTGGAAAAGATTCATACAGCATAAATGCATTAAAAACATGGTTTTTGGCAAAACACTACAGCATAGGCTGACACATGCAAGTACAGGTCGACCTATAGAAGTTTTCACTTCAGTATAGGTCGACACATAATATTTCATGTCGACACCCACGCATCAATATTAAAGTTTGTAGCTTCTGTCCGATGTTCTGACCAACATAGGTCGACACAAGACATTGACAGATCGACCTAAGACCTTATCAAGTTGGCTCATCTTCTTTGATAGGTTGACCTATGATTTACACAGGTTAACACACATGATGCATTCCTTCAAAAATCTTATTTTTTTCCTCCACCCATTTGCATTTCTTTTGCTTCATACCTCTCATACATATAAATACTCATGCATGTATCATATTATAGTAAGGTACTAGTGTAAAATCTAAACGAAACTAGAATTACAAATCAAACCAATCATCTTCAACCTCTTTTCTATGCATACACATAATCATTTTTTGATTGGGTGACCATCTAGATTAGGGTTGATAACGTTCAATTTGGTTAGTGTAACCAAGAATATTAGGTTTGGTTCTTTGTGTGTCTCAAATAAGAAAACCAAGTCGAGGTTTTCCTTCAAGATCATTGGGATTTGAAGGTTTTGGACAAGATCACGCAAATACGGATTCGATCGAGTGAATAGACCTTGAGACAAGGTAGGTGTACCTTGCAAAGTAGTAGCGTGAAACAATGAATCGTTTTCGTGAATCTTGGGTTCAACAAGTGCGTGCTAGGGATTAATCCGACCAAGCGAAAACCTTGAAGACAAGGATGTCTTGCAAGCTAGTAACAAGAACTAATGGATTGTAACAACATTGTTGGTTACTTATCAATATTTGATCAAGGGTTTTAGAGGTGGTAGAATAAAAAATAAACCATAGGGTTTGTGGGGTTAGAGTTATTCATCTATTGTACATACGTTGTTTGCAATGTAAGGTTAAATTGCAACTATCTCAATTCAAATTCGAATTGAGGGAAAACATACCCATAGCGAGGTTGATTGGAGAACTGTCTAAATAAATCTCTCTCTCTCTCTCTCTCTCTCTCTCTCTCTCTCTCTCTCTCTCTCTCTCTCACACACACACACACACAATTTTTTTTATCTTTAATTGGCGTACTTGCAAATTATCGAATCTTTGCTGTTTGAATCAATTCATTTGGAAATCGATTTTTTTATTATGTTTCGAATTACGATTTGCTGACATAATCATAATCACTTTGATTGTGATTGGTTTTAATATCAACAAATCAAATTAAATTTTCAAGTGTTATCAATTGCATTCAAGGTGTTCGATAAATTGTTTCAATTGCTTTTAATTGATTCAATTATTGAAAATAAGATCTACGTGTAGCTTAGCATTTAATTGATTTGTGAATTAATCGTTGTTGAACAATTTTTGTTCATTATCATCCAATTGATTTACGTTACACGTATCTTAACTTTTCGATAATAGGTTCGATTAGATGATTTGATTTGGGTTGTTTCTGCTGTGCCATAAAATTTTTAATAAAAAACATTTTTGTCAAAAATTAATTTTTTTTAAAATTTATTATCTATTTACCTTCTCTAGATTAAAATATATCGTTAAACAATTTTCACATTATAAGAGAAAATTAAAAATTTTATTTTACAGAAAAGAAAATCAAATATTACTTACATTATATAGAATATTGTATATTTAACTTTTTATTTATTTAGTTCATTATTTATCATCTTTCTCCTGTTCTATCTTCTTTTTAAAACCTGTTTTAAAAATCTGTTATTTTTAACGCTTTGTAAAAACTTATTATAATCATAACTCACTCCCCCTATTTTATTTGCACTTGTTCAACAAAGATAGTTGAACTTATGAACAAAAAATATAATTGAATTCTATGATCAACTAATTGAGGAGCCCTCTGAACAAATTGGTTCCAATGCCTCTGAGTTATTATCTTATGAACCACAAATTCTAATCCTAATATTTGAATCACTGCCCAACTCGAAACTCCATAATCAACTATATATGTACCAACAACATGGTTTGATGAAAGGTTTGATCCGCTGATGAAAAAGTTATATTATTTGGTAAATCCATTTTACTTAGTGAACAATTATTTCAACATGAACCATATGTTCACTCTGAGCCAACACAACACCAACCACCTTAACAAAGTGAATGACAACAACACGAGCACACAAAAAAAAAAAAACTAATATGCATCTCACATTGTCAAGACTTTATGTGGAACAAGCATTGAGCACGTTACCATCAAAATTTAATTTGATCAAAGAGCTACACATAGATGGTACTTTTCTAATAATGGTTTGTTGAAAAGTGTGTATGGACACATCACAAGTGCTAGCTACCTTAGATTATCTCTAATGGTAATTTCCATTTAAAGTTTTTTTTTTTTTTTTTTATAGATTTCATCAAACTATTTTATTCTAAAACAACTCCTTTTTTCTAATTTTTTCTTCTATGATAAAGTTTTATTTAGTTTCACACTTTTTGCTGGATAATTTGTGTTTCATGTTATTTGCAAATTGAGAAATTTTAGAGAAAATTAAAATTTCAATTGAGAGAGTTATTATTGAAATGAAAAGAATTTAAGTACAAAGACAATAATAGGCCTTTTAAATATAATAATTATATAAATTCATATTTTCCAAATAGCATCATGATCCAGTCGATTATACAATATTTTTGTAACGTTAAAATATTCTACCGTGCAATTTAAATATATATATCTTTTATTATTTTCAATTTGTTCATCTATTTCATCCACAACTCATTCAAGATGATGACAACATTTGTTATAATAAAAATAAAATGACATTTTTTATGCATCATTTAAAATAACTTCCCTCAAACCTAAAATAATTGTTAAAGTCAGAAACACAGCTAAGACAGAAGCGGTAATATCTTCTAGCATGAATTGCTGTGGCAAACACATTGGCCTTTCCATTAATTTGTTGATATCATCTTCGTTCACATTTTCAATTTACCAAACCAATACGATAACGATATCTGACTTTGGTGCAATTTAAGAGATAAATTTCCATTATAAAAAACATGCAAAAGATAAACTTTACAACCATCATCGAAACTTACGGTCGTGGTGCTTAGAACTCTGAGTTCTTTATTGTATAAAATACATTACAAGGCAAATCCCCAAATTTTCTAACCATTTGATTGAGAGGTTGGTGTTTGCTTGACAGTATGAGAAACAACCCTCAAATGAAACACAACCACATAAAAGAAAATATCCATACGTCGCATTCGTTGAAGATGATTAATGTCTTGTTTTGGTTAGTGAAACAGCAAATCCAATGGACCATAGCGTAATTTGTCTATGGTAGGCGTATGGGGAAAATTGTTACTAACCATTCATAATACGCTATCGCTTTTGACCTATAAACTATTGTATCAAACATTTCACTTATCACATATTTTCGTCGACATTAACATTACGTGTTTTAAAACTTATTTGATATAGATATAAAGTTTTTGAAAAGCATGAGAATTTTTGTGGCTAGCATCCAAATGGAAAGAGCTTCATTTTCTTCTTTTAAGTGTGGTGTAAATTTACTGTATTGAATGAATAGACCAAAAAAAGGGTTTCACACGGGTCAAAATGCTTCCTATTCAAATGGTCGGTTCAGTGGGCTTATCAGTGGGCCATCTTGAAAATCAGGCCCACAAGAGCTGCGATGAAATTTAGTATCCAATATTTGCTTTACTACCGCTCCGCCTTCAACGGTCATATTCATTAGCCGTTACCATCTTCCAACTAATTAAATAAAAGCTTAACATAATAAATTAATCAACACTAATCCCTTTAGTATAGTACTATATTGCTATTAATAGAGAACATGATGATGTGGGTGTTGATTTGATTTTGCTGCATTTGATGTGGCCTCGGTGTCTTTTACTGTCACGTCTCATTACATTTTTTTTTTCTATTTAATAAAACTTAGCTCAAAAGCTAAGTAAACAGCACAGTGACAATAAAAAGAGACTTTATCTTTGTACTACCACTATTAGAAGTTTAGAACCAAAGTGGCCATAAATTTTTTTAACTCTTTCTCCCTAATTTTTACTTTACACGTTTCATCAAACGGTCAACATTTCTCATCACACGTATTATAAATACCATTCTTCTCTTCTCTCTCAAACCTCCTAGAACTAGAAGCACTGAGTTAAGGTAAGTTCCGGTTAGTACAAAAGCACAACTATATCAGAAAATAAAAACGAACAAAAAAAATGAAAATGAATTTTCTTTCACTGAAAGTGGCTTTAATCTCCACTGGAATTTTATCAATGGCGGTGGCGTTGAAGCTCACGGTACCGATTGTTTCGCACTTCATCCTCAACGATGCCCCAACCGTCTGGTCCTTTATCCTCACATGCTTCACACCGCCTTACCTCTATCTCCTCCTCAACCTCATCATCCTCACCATCGTTGTTACCTCTAAATTCCATAGTCAACACCACCATTCCCCGCCGGAGCCTCTTCCTTTCGAAGCCTCCTTCGACGGAACACCTTCTCCGGTTCAGATCCCTGCGCCGGTACAAGTAGAGATCTCAGAAATCCCACCGCTAGCTAACTACAATGGCTTCGTTTCCGAAATCAATGAAACATTTGCGTTAGGTAACGACTCTGACGATTCTGTTGTTTACGTCGCCGAGGAAAATACTCCGGCGAAAACGACGGTTGTCGAAGCGGATGCCTCTGTTCTCGTTCCGAGCTTGCAGAAGAACTCGTCTGAGTTTGCGTTTAACGATGAGAACGAGAAACCTCCAGTTTCTTCAAGGTTCAGAAAAGCCGTTAGATCAAGTCCCGAAGGTATATTCATATAAGCGTTTCTCTCTTTTTTTTCTCTCTCTGGTTTGTTTTGTAACCGTTTTTAGTTTTTGATTTTTGAAAATTTAAAATATAAAAATAAATAAAGTTTAAAAAAGAAGACTGAAATTGTTTGTTATTATAGGAGGGAAGGTGAATGCGTTGAGAGTGACGAAGACAAAGAAGCAAGACACGCTGGAGAATACATGGAAGACGATAACGGAGGGGAGAGCGATGCCGTTAAATAGGCATCTGAAAAAGTCGGACACGTTCGAATCACAACCGCGCCGTAGCGGCGTGCCGTTAGCTGATTTAAACGGAGGAGTTGGAGGAGGTGGCGGTGTTCCGGTGATGAAGAAATCGGAGACGTTCGGTGGAAGGGAGAAAAGTGTTTCTCCTGGATCCGGTGGGAAGATGAGGAAAGAATCATCGTTGAGTCAGGACGAGTTGAATCGGCGAGTCGAAGCGTTCATTAACAAGTTTAACGCGGAGATGAGGTTGCAGAGGCAGGAATCGCTGAGACAGTATCGGGAAATGGTGAATGGTAGAACTTGCTGACGTGGGAGATGGAATCCAACGGTCATATTCTGGGGAAAATGTAAATTCAATGGTAGAATTTGCTGACGTGGCAGATATAATCCAACGGTCATATTTTGGGGAAAATGCAAATTCAATGGTAGAATTTGCTGACATGCAGATATAAGCCAATGGTTCATTAATTTGATTTCTGGTGAAATTCAATCGAGATAGTGACTGAACAGTGAACAATGGTTTTCTTTTTTTATGTTGAGTTGGTTTCTTGGAAAAAATAATAAAATCATAGTAATAGTATAAGGTTTTTATTATGTTTTGGGGATATTATTCAATTTTCTTCAATTGGATTTTTTTGTTCTTTATTGTGTTTATAGAATGCTTTGCTTGAAATCAATATAAAATGATGGGGGACTACAATTTGAATTATTTTCTTGTTGCTAAAAATGGAAATGGATTCATTATTTTACTTTAAAAAACAATTGTATGTGATGTTAGAATTTAGTGCTTGGTCTGGCATCACAACGGTCACTTTTTTTACATGCTAGAGAATTCCCATGAAAGTTTTCCTTGTTAGGAAAATAATTATGTGTTTTTTTTACGGATATTCTCTACTACTAACAATTGCGAAGCTTAATTTTTCAAGTCTGACAAAATTATAGTGAATAGAAAAAATATTTCTAATGGAATTTGACTAGTCCAATATGGCATGAGTAAAGAATCTAGCTATACAAAAAACACAACGGGTTTATTGTGTCCTTAGAGCATCTTTAGTAGGAGTAAACTAAATGGGTAAACTAAGATACTTTTTGTGGCCCCAAAGTGATTTGTAGGATTTAAAAAATTTATAGTTGATTTGAGTAGTTTTTACTTTAATGGTAGTTGTCTATAAGAAACCAAAACTTGATCTCATATTTTATATTTTTTATTCAAGTTACCATTAATTTAATTATTTTAATTAAAATACATATAATTTTTTAAATAAAATTTACCTTAAAAACTTAAAAATAATATTGAATATATTTTATTATAAAATTAAAAATGATACAAAATTCACAACAATAATACATAAAAAAAATTACATTTTCATAGGAATATAATTATAATAAGGATTCGATTGGTTGTGATCCATTTGATAAATAAATAAGATTGAAAATTGAAAGAAAAAAAATTTAAAAGTAAAAATGTGTGTAAAAAAAATTAAAATTTCTATAGAATTTATAGAAGGTAAAAAATGATAATATGACCGTTACTATTTTCAAATATCATACCCTTACTTTAATGTTGTTGGAATATTTGGAATATTTTATTAATATTAAATAATATTATAATAGGTTTCACATAGTTAACGTTAACTATATAGATGATGGGAACTAAATTTTAGTTCACTTGGATGCCATGTCAGCTTTCCTATAATGCAAATTCCTTATTACTAACGTATGGTATAAAGAATTTTGGTTTAACAACCCTGCGTTAAAGTTGCTCTTAGAATGTCAGACTTAAAATATGATGCATAAGTGATATTTCAGTTGAAAAAAATACTTTTTTCTTAATAAACTACTACATTTGAAAAGAAAAATGACTTTAGGTATAAATTCTGGAATTTTTTACTCAAATAAATCATTTAAAAAATTTTCTAAAATAATTTAGAGCACCTAAAAATTAAAAAGAGACGTCAATTAGATTATAGACTGGATTTAGTGTTGTCAATTTAATTGACGTCAATGTGTAAAGTTTAAGAGATAGCTACAATTGATCTGACACCAATGTGTATTGTGTTACTTTTTTGACAAAATACTCATTTTACCTACTACTTAATCATCTCATATTTATTGTTTTAATACTGCACACTGAAAAATGACTTTAGGTATAAATTCTGGAATTTTTTACTCAAATAAATTATTTAAAAAAAATTCTAAAATAATCTCCAGCACCTAAAAATTAAAAGAAGACGCCAATTGGATTATAGACTGCATTTAGCGTTATCAATTTAATTGGCGTCAATGTGTAAAGTTTAAGAGATAGCCACAATTGGTCTGGCACAATGTGTATTATGTTAATTTTTTGGCAAAATACTCATTTTACTTACTACTGAATCATCTCATATTTATTATTTAATATTGCACACTAAAATATAAATATATGCTTAGTTGCAACAACAAATGTGATTTTAAAACAACAAATATGAAAGAAAAAAACTTGCAACGATTCCGCTTTCGAAGGGTAAAGATTCCATATTTTTTGGGGAAGCCACTTATGTGGGTCTGAATTTGAATAACTTTCGAACCGGTTCAGAAACAATTGATTGTGTTTTGATGTGAAACCTAAATAATTATTATTTCTTGGCTCTTCCGATTCATTATCATGCAGACATACAAATTGATTATTGCAACTCAACTCATGTAAAAGAGTAAACGCATAATCGAAAAGGTAAATGAGAGATCAAGATTCAGAAATATAAGGATTAATCGTGATATTCGTACTTTGGTGAGATTTATGAACACGTGTTTGAAGCCAACAGAAACAACACCTTTGTTGCAAAACCTTGAATTCAGAACATAAGAACAGACGTTGAACTTGAAACAGTAATTTGTTTGTGATTGAGAAAAACCATTCAGAAATTGATTACTAGTGTTCATAGGAAAAATTTGGGAAAAAAATATGCATAAAAACTGAAATTCATAAATCACAGATGAACCCTAACCCCTAAAAGATACTGGAGTTGCAGAAGTTCATTATCAATCCAATAATAACCAAAGAAGAATGTCTAAAAGAAAGTTCTTTCCTTCTGAAAGGAAGAAGATGGACACAATTTCTAACCACATGTTACACCATTCTGGAAGATATAATGAACCTCCAAATAATTATCAATTTTGTTAGAGATGTCATTACTGTGGAGAGTATGGTCTTATAAAGTCTTTTTGTTATAAATTGTATAGAAATAAAAAATTTCAGCTCATACCAAGGTTAATCAAGTAAGCAAAAAGAGAAGATCTAAAGAGAAGGAAGTGAACCTAATGGCTCACACTTCCTTGAGGACCTCAATTAGAGAAGGCTGGTACTTTGATAGTGGATTTCTAGACATATGACAGGGGTTCAGAAGCTGTTGGTAGATATCAAGCCTCATCCCACAGGTTTTGTCGAATTTGGTGATGGATTTAAAGGTGAAATCAAAGGAGTTGGAAAGCTGGTTTGTGCTGGATCACCTAGTTTAGAAAATGTTCTCTTTGTAAAAGTACTAAGTGTTAATCTCATTAGTATTAGTCAGTTGTGTGACCAAGGAGCATTAGTTAATTTCTCAAAGACATAATGTATTGTCATAAATGATAAAAATGTTGTTTTGGTTAGAGGTATAAGGTCGAAAGACAACTATTTTTTGTGGGAACCTCAAATAACTGCTTACTCGTCCACGTGTTCTATAACAAATCAGGATGAAGTGAAGTTATGGCACCAGAAACTTGGACACCTTCATCTCAGCAGAATGAGGGAAATAATAGCTGAAAAAGCCATTAGAGGAATACCAGAACTCAATGTCAAAGATGGGAAAGTTTGTGGTGAGTGTAAGGTTAGGAAGCAATCCATGGTGTCATCTTAAATGTTACAACGCCAGACTACCTCCAAGGTATTGGAACTTCTTCACATGGACTTAATGAGACCAATGCAGGCAGACAGCTTGGATGGAAAGAAATATGTCTATATAGTTATTGATGACTTTTCAGAGTTAGAATAGATAAACTTTCTTAGAGAAAATTATGACACTTTTGAAGTTTTTAAAGAGATATATCAAAATGTTCAAAAAGTGAAAAATAGTATGATTGTGAAGGTTAGAAGCTATCATGACAAGGAGTTTGAGAATGCAAAATTCTCTGAATTTTGTGCTTCTAAAAACATCAGTTATGAATTTTCTTTTTCCAGCTCTTCTCAGCAAGATGGAACTATTGAGAAAAAGACAAGGGCTATACAAGAATCAGCTAGAGTCTTGCTTCATGATAAGAAACTTCAGATTACTTTGGGCCGAAGCTATGAATACTGCATGTTATATTCATAATAGGGTCACCTTGAGGGCAGGATTTTCAGTTACTCTATATGAGCTATGGAAAGAAACAATACCTACACTCAAGTACTTTCATATATTTGGAAGTAAATGCTATGTCTTAGCTAATAAATATCAAAAGAGTGAAATGGATCCCATTGATGAAGGAATATTTCTGGGTTACTCATCAAGCAGCAGAGCTTATAGAGTCTTTAACTTCAAAACTGAAATGACAATGGAATCTATTAGTGTAGTGATTGATGATTCAGTTACAGAACAAAGGATGGATGTTGAGAACAATGTTAGAACATTATCTAAGGCAAGTTGTAATTTTGCTGGAATTGTGTTAGATAACTCTCAAGTTACTACAAGTCTCTTTGTTAGAGTTTATGCGCAACCATCCAAGAAATCATTGGAAGACACCCTAATGAAGAATACATCACTGAATTTGCAGAAGTAATATCAAACTCACGTCTTGTCTTTAGACCTGAATCAAGGATGAGTCCTATTGTTCAAGAGAAAAAGATCTTGAATTTCATCATTGGAACTAGGGATTGTGGTATGCATTACTCTTATAGCACAAATGATATGTTGAAAGAACTATGCAAGGTAGAAGTAGTTAGTGATATGTATGGTTGTTTATCACCAACAAATAGTCAGATTGCTTGCATCAATAAAAAGCAAGTATGGGCTTCCTGGTGGACTGTTGCAGCTGAAGAAGGAGAAACCAAATGAGTTTTCCTTCAAATAGTATGGATAAAACAGATGTTGAAAAATAGAATGACAAGGCTGATATTCTAACATCACATTGTAAGGATCTAAATGTTGTCAGATATTTCATTCTACATGGCTGGAACAAGAATCCTGACATGTATAATCAGATAATCAGGAATCTTAATGAAGAAAAAGTTATTATTTTGTAACATGTGGATACTAAGGATCAACTAACTATTATGTTTACTAAAGTATTATATGCAAATGTACTTGAGAACAT